TAACAAACCAGGCTTATCCATTAAATAACATAAACAACCGGTTAAAGCATTTATTAAGCGTAATTCAATCAAAGCAGAAGAAATGACTCCCGATGCGCAAGCATCTAATGAACCCCATGCGAAGGACGTTTCATTACCCAAGGTGGATCTTCAAGTCTGAACGACAAAAATATTTTGTCAACATTCTTTTACCTTTCAGATTGGGGGGCTTAATGGTGTACCCAGGCCGGTAATCCGAGAGAACCCAAGCAACTGGTCAGATACTTACAAGGTCGGGCATGAATAAACTACAACTTGTTACGAACGAATCTAAGCTCAAGTAACCATACACGAATATCAGAACCATATCCCATGAAAACATGCAAAAGAGAGAATACGAAGCAATAAAATAATAAACTGACAAAAGGCGTAACTGCTAACAAACCAGATAATAGACGAAGAACCGGACAGAACTGTAAACCCATGAAACCACGGATAATCTATAAATACATTAGAGACATGATAACCAGGTACAGGTAAAAGATAAGCAAGAAACATTATACGCAACAACGTAACACTCTTATATTCACAATCTAACTTAGGCATCAGAAAGCAATACGGGGATTCAACCCTCGGTATGGCTATCTGAACTAGCGTTTGTCCATTTATGCAGAGCGGATTCTCGAATGTTTATTAGACAAAGATCCTTCGGTGATAGAGCTAAACATGCACCTGGAACCCGCCGTAACAACAACATGTGTAGTAGCGTAGATAATTATTAGCTACCAGTTGTTTTTTAATTTTGCTTTGAAATGTTTATGTCTTTATTAAGGAATATATTCAAGATCTGATAAAACTAAATAATTTTTTAAAATTTGATAATAAAATTTTTTATTGAACCGATATAAATTTTACCGTACTTATATTATGAAACCTAAACATAAAAATATTTTTATTTTTAACTAAAAATCACATACTTATATATTTAAAATAAAATAACAACATACTATTATTTCTATAATAACATATATTTTTTTATTATTAATACATCATGTTTTTTCATAAAATAAAATATGTTTGGATAACATAAATGAAGATAAATCTTCAAAGTTACATCATGTAAAAATTAAAAAGTAATAAAGTGATATTTTTATACTTCAAATTTTTTAGATAAAATATAGAAAACTAAAATATTTAATTATGTATTGTAGTTTGAATATTTTAAATAAAATCTAGAAAAAAAAATTATATATTAAATAAAATATATTTGTATGATGATTAAAATTTATAGGTTTTAATTTTTTATTTATATAAATATTACATTTCATGTAAAAATAAATATGATTCATAAAAATAAATATATTTTATAGAACGATTTCATGAAAAACAATGTTATAAAAACTGAATCTAAAATCCTAACTTTTAAAAAATATATAATAACAAATTGTGGAAAAATTAAGGAAACTCTTTAAATGAAAATTAAAACAAAAATAAAATAAAAAAGGGGCCGAAAATGTAAAAAGAAAAAAGTAAGAGACTAACAGTCTAACATCGAAATATTTCACAAATGGTGTTTATGTAAAATTTTACAAATGTTCCTTAGCCAAGTTTCACAAAATGACAGAAATTGTCTTTATTCAAAAAAAATTCAACTTAACGAAACTATCTAACGGACATCCACATTAAGGACCATCTGATTGTAAGGTTTGTTCCGTAGGGATCATTCATGCAAAAAAAGGTTTCATAAGGACTATTTTACGAATAAAAGGAAAAACTTGAAGACCATTTGTGAAATTATATCTATAAACTATTGTCTTTTTAACTTAGGTTTTCAAATATACATCTTCTATTTATTAGCTTTTTATAAATTTTGTCTTACTTCTTTTGTTACAAAACTCTATAACTTATATATAAATAATTTGTATATAAAATATTAAAATTAGTTATTATAATACCGAAACAAACATTTTATCAAATACAAAGTTATATTTATAACATATTTTAATAAATATTACACATTGGCTTAAACCGAATGTATTTGAAAAAAAAAACTTAAAAAATTTAAAATATAACTATATAATTAAATTAACATGAAATATATAAACTTAAAGTATAAAAATAAAATAAACAAGTAATGTATAAACATATGTAGAACTCTAATACCAAAAGAAAAGGTGTTAATCAATAGGATGCGTGAATTGAAAAAAAAAAAAATTATACCACAACTTAAGACTAAATTTCACTAGGTGGTTTTAAAAATTTCCTTCGAATGGTTTTTATTTAAATTTTCTTGAATGAATGGTCCTTAATTATAAATTTTGTAACACATCAATCCGTATGACTAACTTTGTCAGGAGATGAGGTTATGTTAGTTTAGAAAGACTAATATACCTTTCATTTGGCAATGACCATTTGTAACCTTTCTCTTTACGATTTCACTTAAATTACAAAATTGTCACTCGTCCACTTTAACCGCCATTGATCACCACAGTCCGCCACCTCCACCTAAATCACCACTAACCAAAACAATCTGTCACATTTACTAAACAAATAATTTGTTGAAAGAATTGAAACCAAAAAAAGGTAAAACCAAAAAAGGAATTAAATGAAAAAGCATCTTTTGCAAAATTATACTAAACCACCATTAACCATTTAGTAAATAGGCATAACATGTTGACAAAGCAAGTCATTACCACTAAGAATCTAGCCACCGAAGAACACAATCAATAACCACACATAATATGGTTCAAGAACATCTTCAATCCAAGGAATTAATTAGGTTCAAATACTAAACATGTTGATGAACAAGTTCAATCCAAGAACCGGTTCATAAAGAACTACAAGCTCCAATACTAAGCAAATGCAATCCTAAGAACTAATTCAATCACAAGTTTAAGCACTAAGTAGGTTCAGTCCAAGGAATTCATAAAACAATACACAAATCAATTCATAATCAAGCACATAAACCATTTAGGCAAATGAATAAGTATTAACAATATAGCAATTCACAAACCAATTCACGATATCTAACCATTTCAAAATAACCATACAACATAAACATAACCCAATGATTACAAAACTCAGTAACATGGTTAAGAAGGTAAACTGACCTATTTTTAAGAGATCAAAAGGGAACAAAATCTCTTCTTTTGGAAACTATTACACCAAGTAATTTGTGCCTTCTCTTTTTTAAGAGTCATCCCCACCTACCAATTATTTGTATGGTATGCATCAACAATGTCACATTTTGAAAAACCAATCACAAAAATTTAAGGAGGCACCGAGCGAAGTTGATCGACAAAAACACTCTTTGGTGCCCAAAATGGTCGTGATTAAGAAGGATAAAATACTTGACGATAAACTCTGTTTTGAAAATCGACGTGATAACATTTTCTAAGTAGAACAATTCTTTCAAACATGCTTCTTTGCTAAAAACCTCGACCCTGTTAATTCTTTCAAACTTTATTCATATTGATTCTTGGTAAGGATTTCGATGAGGGGTGACAGTATTAGAAACCAATGGGTATAACAACTTAAGGAATCTGTACATGGGTAACGAAAACAGATCATTGGCAATGTTTTAATGGCATCACGAGGGTTTTGAAATGGAGATTAAAGTCTAGCTAACATAGTGAGAACATGGGAAGGTATAGGGATATAGGGATATTTTAGACATTTCATATACTACTATTAGTACTTAACGATACTGACCTAACAAATTTAGCTATAAGGACCGGGAGTGTTATAAAATCTATATTTAGGGACTATTCCTGCAAACATAATTTCATAAGACAATTTGAAAGAAAATGTTTAAACCATAAGGACGATTCGTAAAACGTAGTCAAAACTTAATAATGTTAAGACATAATATATGAGAGAAATTTTTAAAACTATAACCGTCATTTGTTAAATTTAGTCAAACCTTAATGATCTTAAGACGAAAGTTAATGTTGGGTTGTAGTTGCGATTGGACCACTTCATTCAAAATCTATAATTCCACTAGACCTTACGCTGGTATATGGAATATTTAAATATAACTGAATAAACTATAAGTATACGTAAATTCATATTAAAACAAATAAATGCATGGTTTGGGCTTTTTTTGAGAGCATACGGTTCATTGCAAAGAACTTCCGTGGTTCAAATACAAGCACGATATAATTAGAGGTGTTTTGTTCGACATATTTAAGTGTGTCGGGGTTTCCACCAAGAAAGAGGCTCCTGTGATTTTTCTGACTGACCTAACAGAAGGAAGGTCAACCCTTAGACCGACTGACGTTTTGATTTTTGGATGAGTTGGAGGGATACACGCATGTGTGGACCTTACAGGGGTATCCCCTCTCATAGGCTTGAGGGTCAGGGGGTTTCACGGCGGGACATACTGCATTAAAAGCTACTAATTTCAAGGTTACGAAACATGAGAAACCGTGCATGGAAAATCAATACGTATTCATATCATTTGCATTTGATACGTTTGGTTTCCTTGTGCCGGATGCGGTGGAATTTCTTAATAGAGTACAACATATAATACATAACAATGTTATATCCCTAAATCTATGGATGTAGTCTTCAAAAAAATTAACTTTACCATACAAAAAAGCTTAATGACGCAACTTGTTGTTCGTTTTCTTTTTCATTTGTATGATGATAAATAAGATGTATTAACTTGTGTGATAAATGATTCTATCAAACATCATAATGGAATAAATATTATATTTGATTTTAACACAACCACTTTCCCTTCGGATAAAGTAGTAACTTTCTTTCTATAAGAATGTAAGAAAACTATACCTATCAGTCCTTTTTCTTTCCTAAGTTTGCCAAAACGGGATAAATTAATGCTTTCTTTTCTCAATAACTTTTTTAATAAATAAATATCTTGCGTCATTCCTATATACAAAATTATGGACTATTTATTATTATTATTATATTATAAGGCACACCGTACAAATGCATGGTTCATTCACTTTTCAAGTTAAGACCATGTATTGATTTTGACTTTTCTTTAATTGTATAAAGATAGGGGATACAAGAGTACAAGACTAGACTATGAAAAGCAACTTAACTGGTTTTTGTGGTCTAGAACTAAAGAGATGTATGGCAACCTAATAATTTTGTATGCCCATGTTTTTCCATCGATAAATATCTCTATTAAGCTATCTTCTTCCCCTTCATCATCATGGAAGATGTATGTTATATGTAAATTTCTTTAGGGTTTTCTTGCTTTTAATCTTCCTATTTTTGATGGAAATCTGTTGGATCTTAAAAACTTAAGTGTTGATCCTTTTGAATTTGATTATTTGGAGTCGAACAATCTGTTGTTTAATTTTGAATTGTTCTTGAGCGATTTCTTTCTTACTTGACCTTGGTAAGGTTTTGAAAATTAAAATTATTCTGTTTTATGTTTTTGAGGTTGCAAGATTGATGATCTTATTCCCACACAGAGAAACAATGGTGAGAGGAAAGGTTCAGATGAAGAGAATAGAAAATGCAACAAGCAGGCAAGTGACTTTTTCCAAGAGGAGGCATGGACTTCTAAAAAAGGCATGTGAGCTTTCGGTACTTTGTGATGCTGAAGTTGCTTTGATTATCTTCTCTCAGAAAGGGGAACTCTATGAATTTTCTAGCTCGAAGTAAGTTCAATTCCTTTCACCCTATCTTCAACTTATTACATACTAACAAAATTTTTGAATGTGACATTATATAAAAATTAAACATGTAATATTTTAAATTTTTTTTTTCTAGAAAAGCCATATATATGAGGGATGGGAGTTAATGTGCAAGTTGCTTTACTTGTATTCAACTTCTTTATGATAAGAACATGTTTTTTCCAAGAAAACCCCATCCTACAAATAAATTTTACTTCTGAGTAAATTGATGCATGCAAGCTGTCATTCGATGTGTACGTACTTCATGTGAGTCTGACTAAAAAAAGACTCCACAGCAGTACCAAGGCTGCTTCTGCTTTAATGACCTCTACTCTGACACAAGGAAACCCTAGTTAGTTGATGAATCACTTACGCCTTTACGTACCTATGTATTTCCTACAGTACTCCAGTAGTCTTGTATATATACTGCTGGTCTGCTGGACCATGGTTTTGATCTTGTTAATAAACATGATTAAGTAACTACGTACTTTCTATCATAAAACTCCCTTATAAAAAGCAAGCAGTCTACATAAAAACATTGTAGTTGGAAAACGGGTGAAAGCCTTTGAAAATCTATAATGCTTTTTTGTAGCAAAACCATAATATTTCCAAGAATATAATTATGACCCAACTGCAGTAATTAATTATCTTCAGAGAATGATACTATAAGCATAACTAAAATTAGTTTGTCAAGGCATTGGGTTTAGTTTGGAGTGTATGGCATATCATTAGGCTGGTGGGAGTGGGCTTCGCAAGGAAACGACAAAGCTGAGGTGGAGGGTTTTTGCGACGACAAACACCGTGTTGTGGCTGTGGCAAGTGGTTCCTTCATAAGACACTTTCAAGGTGTCAATCATCTCCTTAACAGAATTACAATTTTCCACCATATAATAAACTTCATATGGTAGAGCATTGCAGATGTTTGTTATTGCCCTAACGTCAAGATTGCCTTTCTTTTTATGTTCTTCAGTCCATTGAGCCATTGGAGCATACATGGTTCTTGGGGGTTCATCACCTTACACCATAGTTTGCATGGGCACATAAGTAAGGATTTCCATCATGTTGTAATCCATTGTTTCAAGCACCATCATGATTTTACTCAATCATATGGTGAAATTGTTTTCGTCGAAAGGGGGACATTTGTTCAATGAATGTGATTGGGAGCTTAAAGAGGAAGAAGTAGTTAAACATGAGGATGCCATTGATTGAAATAAGAACATATCAAATTAGATGATTCTAAATACCATTTTGATAGCATCTGTTGGTACTGTAACAATCGATTCAATCAATGCAAACACAAGAACACACTATAAGGCTTCATTATAAAGAAAATGAATAATAAACTTATTTTGATTGGACACTTTTAAACGATTAATTACAATTGTTCATTCAGGAAGAACAATAAAACATAAACCCTAACATAACATATATTGGGTCTGCCTTATAAAATGCAATCCCGGTGTAACACGAAGTCTTCCATCAAATAAGCAAACAGATCCTTATCAATCTTTGAGTCAATCCCAATCACTAAGATATCTGGATTGATCTTGGTGAACACGTCTTTAGTCAGCTACAAACTTCAATACTGATCTAGCTGATGACACCAACTTAATTAATCACTAGGTTGACCCACCAAATTTCTCCTTGAGTTTCTTAGAGTACTCTCCTTTGAGCATGTGGTAATTCTTCCTTATTTTATACTTTGATACCAAAGTGTACACATATATGTATTTATTATATACATTATTTATTTATCAATTGTAGACTCTTTACTTGCTTGGCCTTCTATTTTTTATATTCTTGAAGTTTAGACTATTTATCTTCTAGAGACATCAAAATTTAATTAGTAGGTTACATAAACATTTACCCGATGAAAAAAGAGTAAAACTTGTGAACCTTTAGTCGATTAAAAAAGAATAAAACTCCCCTAAACAAAACTTTCTATTTTTTTTTAAATGATTTGAACCTTCCTTTGATGCATATATGTTTTTAAAACAAGAAACATTTTGCTTTTACTTCTCAAAACTAATTTTCTATATTTTTTGGAATGCATAATCCACTAGGTATCCATTGATTTAGTGGATCTGGGTATAAATTTGATTATATAAAACCATGCTGGTGATTATTGGGGTAGGTCAAATTAATTTTTTTAATTTGTTAAAAGTGTTTAAAAATCGATTGATTCGTTTCAAAACCGACTCCATACCTTTTTCCAGGTGTAGCTACAATAGTGAATCTAATCTTTAGCTCTTTAGTTGAAATCCTATCGAATGCCTAACAATTTTGTGAAAGGATTAAGATTTTTGTTCCCTCAAGTGATTATTGTACCATGACCTTATATTTTAGATCGTGATTAGTATCTTATCATTTATTCTTCCATTTTCCAACAACCTATTCCATTTTGTCTATTTTGATTTTAAAATTCAATCCAAATTGGGAACAACTTAAAGAGTGGGAGGGTTTGGCCTCTCTTTCCCCCGATAGACATTAAATAAGTTTTAAAACTACTATCTTACAACCAATTCTTAGATAGAATGACAAACTACACAAAACTCTTGTGGAAATTGATATGTGATAATAACTACATAGCTTTTTGTTATTTGGTTCAGCATAAAGAAGACGATACAGAAGTACCATGACCATGCAAAAGCAAATGAAAGTTGTAATATCGAAAATGAATCCCATAATCAGGTCAATATTCTACAACATATAAATTAGTTTGAATTACAGGTTGTCACCAAAAAACATTTCCATGAATTTTGTAGCAGTTGAAGAACGACACCATCACCATTCAAAATAAAATAGACCAAGTTGAAGTCTCACAACGGTGCGTGTTTCATAGTTTCACTTCCTTTTCCATTAATTATATCTTTTTTCCAGTTTCAATGCTACAATTTGTGATGTTTTAGAAAGCTTTTAGGACAAAGCTTAGGATCATGTTCGGTAGACGAATTGATGAAACTAGATAGTAAAGTGGAACATAGCTTGACAATAATAAGAGAAAGAAAGGTATGCAAAAGGTTACCCATAAATGGATTTATTCATCATCATTGTCATTTTGGTCCTGTTAACCAACTTCTTAACTTGATCCCAGACTCAGTTATTCAAGGATCAACTCGAAAAATTAAAAGAAAAGGTTTTCATTTTCCTATCTCCATAAAACTAAATATCTCAGATGCATAAATACATGATACATCCCTCACTTTACATATTTCTCATGTCCAGGAAAGGTTACTATTGGAAGAAAATGCAAGATTATATCAACGTAACATAAGTTTGTGTGAAAAGGTATAATCTAACACCTACATCCATTCTGTTTTTTTTAACATTAATGTAACATACGAACATGATTACCAGACATATACTTTTACAAGAAGGCAAAACATCCAAAATTCAGAGGTAGAGACAGAGTTGTTCATTGGTCCACGCCTCCCTCAAAATTCTCAAGAGTGATACTATTAGAGTCAAGTTGATTTTGATGGATACCCTCTGGTGGTAGACACTCCTAGCTACTTAGGGTGGGTCTTCTATAAACAAGTTCACAAATTTCAACCATATGATTTCCTACACATGCTAGTCTTTGTTGTAATACTTCTACCCAAATCTAAAATAGCACTTGACTATGGATGATTTTAGGATTATATATTCTAGGTTTATAATCGCTTTCATCATACAACACAATCTATAAAAATCAATTATGATTATTAAATTAAAATATCACTAAATGATGCAAAGTATAATAACTTAACGTTCAACCTTTGTGCTAACAATAACTAAATGCATTAAATCCAATGATCCATGTACCTATTCCCTATAGACCTACAATATGTATTACATTACTTGTATTATGTAGACAAGTAACTTTGCTATCATGCAAAGTTTTGGAAGCTTTAAGGTATTCTTTCTTGAATAAAATACTTTTTGTTGATTCAAATGGTTCTAGTTTACAAAACCCCGTCGAGTGAAAGTAGAAATCAATTGATGATCATAAACCACAGTTTTAACTTGGAAGCTAACATGAATTAGAGACCGGCAAGAAAACCAATTATCTAATTTAGAACGAAACCTAGTTGTTTGGAAAACCATTTTTTTATAAATTAACGAAATTGGACACAACTGACTGGACACAATAAGTTGTTTAATATCTTTTTAATAAATACATCTTAGTTATAATCGTACAACGAATGAGAAGGCAAACGGGCAACAAGTTGTTTAATTACCTTTACAAATTGAATATGGACTGCATATTTGAAACTAGATTGGAAAACCTATTTGTAAACAGGATGTTAGAATTTTTTTTAATTTTTTTTTATCTACAAATGTTTATGTAGCCATTTATAACTAGTTTTATGTGTGCGATGTGCATAATTAAACATATCAACTTTTAAATTTATAACCTAACCTAACTTAACTAACTATGCACTTATATGCAGTGTACCTAGTCAAATTGTAGAATAGTAAAATAAGTCGGGTGTCGATCACAGGGAACGATATTTAATTAATAAAATAATTACTAAAATCTAAACTAAGAAAAACAACTAAAAGTGGGGGTTTTATCCGATTTTACAAGTGCATAAAAACTCAAATTAAAATACCTAAATTATGACTAGAAAGATTATTTAAAACCAAGATTACTAGATACTTTCGTTTAGCTTCGAATCCCTCCTGTTTCCTATGGTTGATTTCAAGACAATGGTTTAATTCCGTTAGTTACCAAATAAAAATTACTATTCATCATGATCAGACTAACTAGCATAAGTAAATTCAATAACTTTAACCCAATGATCATGCAAGTTAATGACACTAAATTTATTTTAAAGATAATTTGGACTCTGAACGATAGAATCTACATACTACTATTCTATGGCCAAGTTTAGTAATCAAGCAAATATTATGATTAAATATTGCTTTCTAACATAATTAAGCAACTAACTTATCACCTATACTTGGATATGACTAATCTCTAGCTCTAGCAACTTAATGATCATAAACAACTAGGTAAATCAAGTTCATGCAATTAAATACAGTTTAACTACACAATATTGAGGCAAGGAAATAAAGATAGAAACTTTAACAAGTTAGGTTTAGATTTGTCAAACAATATTTAAAGCAAAAGTAACTTCATAAATCCATCAAATAAGAAATCAACACATAGTATTTAGGAGATCATCTAATCTAAACAAAAGCAAGGGTTATTAGCCCATAATCACAGCTGGAAAACACATAAACAAAAGGAAAACTAGGCTAGACATGATTAAACTAGGAAAACCGATTGATTATACGCGAATCCTTGCTCCAATCTCCTTATCCTTTGATCTCTAGTCGAATTTTGTCCCGAAGGGTTCTTGGAAGGGTTTTCTTCACTAATTATTGTAGCCCTAAGGCCTCCCACCTCTAAAAACGACCTAATGTCTTGGAAGGGTTTTCTTCACTAATTATTGTAGCCCTAAGGCCTCCCACCTCTAAAAACGACCTAAATCCCGTATATGGCAAGTAACCGGAAGCTTCTATGGCAGGAAAGGTGGCCACGTTGGGTCCTTTAGGTTGCCACGATGTGGGATCTAGAATTCACATTTTGGCACAAACACGAAAGTCGTCCGATATTCTGTCAAGTTTTCAGAACATTTTGAATCGCATCAATTGGCTTTACGAGTCATGAGATATGGCCAAAATACTAGCGAGGTGTCAAGCTATCCAACAACATCCTTTTTGTGTCTTTTTCAGCTCCTCTTCCTCCAAGTATCCATCTTTTGTCGGTATCAATCATTTTCTTTGAGAATGTCCATTTTTGGTTGCAAAATACAATTTAAACATTATAAGTACCAAATACCTTTGCAATTAACCAAATTATAACATAAAACATATTAAATTAATAATGCCTAGAAATGTGTATAAATATGACACTATCAAAATACGCCACACTTCTCTTTTGCTTGCCCTCAAGAATAACTTTATATTTAATACATCATAAAGAACATTGCCCACCAATATCACACAAGACAATCCGAGTTAAACCTACTAATTACGCCTTACCTCAATGAATGTATTTGTGTCTAGATCATAATTACCTCCCAGTCCTAAATACTTACGATCCTCATAAACGCTTCCCACTTATTTTGAACAATATTCAATTTATGTATCCCTCCGAATCCATCCCCATAAATCTTTCTTAACCTCAATGTATTATTTAGTTAAGCTCCCAAGCATACATATGGTAAAATAATCTAGAAAGAAAAATTACAATAAAAAATAAATTGGCAATTTTTGCCTTATAATAATTTGGAACTTTTGAGCTTTCTTCATAATATTTCTTTGATCTTTTACTTTGTAGACTCTTATTCTCTCAAACTTTTTCAACTCTTTTTTTCTTTTTCTTTTTTTTTCCACAACAATTTTCATTTTTTTTTTCTTTTCTCACTTTTCTCACTCAAAACTAAACACCTACAAATAAAAACATATGCTTAAGCAAGGGAACTTAACTTCAATCCTTATTGGTTAAAATAATTAGTCTAAAGTGAAATGACTACATAAGCTTTCTTGGATACATTTCGAGTACACGATGATAAACATATTATTTCCCTCAAACTAAACAGGCTTACGTTTTTGTCACACGATTTCACTAAGAATGGGAAGCCACAAATACACTATAACATATTGGCTCAACTAAATCTTAGGGTTCAGATCGGATCATCCCACATAACACTAGCAAACTAGCCCAAATGCAATAATATCAAAAAATTTAAAAATGACTAGATTTTTAGACTATTGTTGTAAGCCTATAAATTTTTTTAAATTTTCTAGCATTTTCTAATTAATTACTTTCATGCTTGAAAATCCTTTATCGAACCACTACTCCACAGTTATTTCATACAATGCCCTCATTGTATGCATAAAACAATTAAAGAACATAAAAAACAATAAAAGGGAGAAAAGAAACAAACTCCCCCGGGGTAGTAATGGCGAGATCGAAACAGATTATGGTGGGGAAGGCTTGAACATCTCGCATAAATTGCTGGAAACTGGAAACTGGACTCCTGCTGTGTCACACCCCGCTAAAAGATGAAACACGAGGTGCAACAATATAAGGGTCTCATAGCAAAAGTTAAAAGACAACACCAACCATAGTATTCAAAAGCATTACAATTTACAATAAGATTGAACAACTTTTAAAAGAAATTACAATGTATTTGAAAAACAACAAATGTGTATGCTCCTACAAGTGATGTGTCCCTACATGCCATTTTACTAGATGATTCCTGAAAAAGCTTGTAAAATGAGCGGTCAACTACCAAAATAGTTGGTGAGTTCACAGGTTTATAGAATAAACATAGTTTTAAATCATGAAAATCAGAATATTGATAAAAGTTTCCATAAATGAAAGTTCGTTGCTAAAATGAGTAAACATGTACCCAAAAATCAAGGGTAAAAATTTCATTTTTAAAATAGTCAAAACATAGATATCATTTATTCCAAACATTCCAAAACATCGCTAATTAAAACATTTATCAGAGTTCCTCCCAAAATCACTCATTGCTGAAAACATGAGTGTGTGCATTGCGATCAAGTCGGGCCCTTCCTTTCCAAACTGATGATACCTAAAACAATAAACAAAACTGTAAGCACGAATCTTAGTGAGTTCCCCAGAGCATACCCCATACAATCCACATAACCACATAATTCATATTAGCTATATCAACTACATAAACCATACCGATCACATAAGCCATATTAGCTATATCAGCTACAGAAAATCCACATAAGCCATACATATAAACATATAGGGATGTCGTGGCTCCTCCCAGGGTCTTACTCCAGGATGCCATGGGCTCCCCCACATGGTCTTACACCTAAGTGTCATGGGCTCCTCCCATGGTCTTTAGCTGGAAAGCCATGAGCTCCCCCACATGGTCTGACATCCAAGTGCCATGCCCCCCCCCCCCCCCATGGTCTTTACCTGAAAAGCCATGGGCTCCCCCACATGGTCTTACATCCAAGCGCCATGGGCTCCCCCTCATGGTCTTTCCTGCAAGTATCACATATACACTAGCATACCACCTAGCATATAACCAACTAACATACCACATATCACTACATCAACTAGTGTACCACATAACATAAAATGGGCCGACCTTGGTGCCTTAGACCCATTGGTATGATGAGGAGACTCACCTCGAATGCAGAATCTTCCCGAATGACATCCTTAGCTGTTGCCATGTCGACTTCCCGAGCTATCAATACCAATCAATATACCCAATTAGTAATTGGGTTCCATACTATAATCCCTAATCCATACATGGGGTAAAATGACCATTCTACCTCTGGCCCAGTATGATCCAAAACTGAGGCCCAAGTCCAACACTATAATGTCCATAAATCCATCAATGGCCCAATTTTCCAAATTGAGCCCCAACCCCTTACGAGCCTTACCCTAATCCCATAATCTCATTCACTATAATTTGGTTTACTCCAAGCACCCCTTGGGACTAACTTGCCCAAAGTCAAACGTCAAAGTCCAAGTCAACACTCAAGGTCAACAGTCCATGTTGACCCAACTCGTCGAGTGCATCTAGCAACTCGTCGAGTTCCTTTAGTGTGGAAGATATGATACGTGTCTGTGTGATGGATTTCAGCCATGGTACGCTCACCTACCATTAGATGAGTTCTCTTATAGCAATAGCT